TTGAAATGAAGTGAGTGCGCATTTAGAAAGTAAGATGCGCGCGCATTTTCAGAATAGACATAAACTGAGTATTATTATAACAGTCCTTTGAGAAACACAACATATTTTGAAGTCACAGTTTATCGACATGTCTGAAGTAACTTACATTTCATGGAAGAAGTGTATTTCACGTGAAGCAATATAAAATATATAATTATATATTCGGTTGCTGTAATATATTAGTCAATGGAAGGCGAATCAGAAATGAACTCGGTTTATTTGTTTAGAATGGAGTAAAAACAGCGAGTAATGAACGTACACTATTGGAAAAACAACAACTTAGCAATCGAGCAGTAAACGAAAACTAAGGTCACTTAGTGAGGTTTTTAAACTTAGAACCAAGTTGCGGAAAAAACAAGCAGAAAACATTATTTTGCCACAGGGCTTAGTTTCTAAATTTACAGGCAGGGGAACGGTAGGTGTTCTGGGGAGTATCCTCACTATAGGGAAGGTTCGAGAGGTTGGGGAGGCCATTCTTAAAAATTGTTGAAACTGGTTTTTTATACCAAAATGAAGGGCGAAACAAGTTAGAACAAAAGCCAATAAATAGCGAAATAATTGCGGGAAGACGTGGAATCTTGGGTAGATGCACAGCTGGCGAACATCTGCTCTAAATCCACCAAGCTGGCAAGTAAAAATAGCAACAACAACCTAGAAAATCAGGTCAAGCTAGGTCATTATCACTTTCAAGTTCATTTATAAAATTGAAAGTATAAAATAAAGCTTAGTTTCAAGATTTTTAAAAGCTGTAACACTCGTTTTGGTCTCTGTGAAGACTAGAGGGAAGGCAGTTAATCATCTCCACCTACCTCCATCTCTTGGGCTACTCTTTTACTAACGAATAGTGGGATTTACTGATACATTATAACGCCCCCACGGCTGAAAGGGCGAGCATGTTTGGTGGGAGGGGATTTGAACCCGTGACCCTCAGATTGAGAGTCGAGTGCTGTAACCACCTTGCTATGCTCCGTGGAGGAACCAGACCTACGTTCCGGCTTAAATAAAGTCCCGTTCTGAGGCGCAAACAAGAGCTTTCGATTGTTTTTTTTTTCTGAATGAAGAAAATAGTTTTGATTACTTTTTTTGTGTATCCACAATAAAGAAAAGAAAAAAAGGATTTATTAAACGAATTCTACTATATACGGTTAATTTAATAATTTCTATTATTAAACTGAAACTGTTGCAGAAATGAGCGTAAACCTGTGTTCAGTGGTGGGGGCAGCATATCGATAATTAACAATACAATTAATAATAATAATAATGTCCCCTGATGGGGACTTACTCCGATAAAATCCGGGGTTCGATCTCCCGCGGTAGACAGAGCGTATATAGTTCATTGTGTGGTTTTTGTTCTCAAATAAACAAACAAACAGTAATAATAACTACACAGTTAAACTTTGTTTGAACAAAGTAGGTTTTACGTGAATTCTATGCTATCCTGAGATGTTGTTCATACTGGTAATAACAAGGTAACGAGCGTTATAAACTGTTATAAATTGATGTATGATGTTGGACATGTTCTTAAATTTTAACGACAACTATTGTTTTATATGTATGAGGTGACACCTAACGGTTGATACCACGTATTCTATGCTGTAACATCGAAGTAAATAACCAATGAAGGATTATCTTTCGGAATAGTGTTTTTAAATTTAAATAGGTGTTTAAAAATACGTCTAATTGAGTTAATTACATTGATTTTAAATATTATTACACGTTTTATAATGTACGAAAACACCAGTGTAAGTAATTGTTTTTGGAATATTAGTTTGCAGTATACGACAGGCGAGAGATCTGTTAAGTTCATCTCATATATCTTCGCGTATACTGCTGAATTAGGGATGCCTGGTGCAGATAGCCGTCGAGTAGCTTTGCGCGAAATTGAAAACAAACCAAACAAACTTATTCATAAAAATAGAAATATATTGTTTTCTTGAGTGATTGACTAAGTGATAATTTAATGTATTCATAAAACGACAAAGTCTAGACAGATATTGCATGTGACCCTCAATCTTTTGATCTGCTTCTCATTTCGCTGCTAAATCAGAATAAAAACAAAACTTAGAAAATTGGAAGAAAACAATAAATTAGACAAAAACTGCAAGTAAGCAAAAATAAACAGATTTCTCTTTGTGATATGAACATTTAAAATTTTTCAATTTGAATATTTTTCGGCAACAAATTAATGAGCGAATAATTTCAAAAAACAGAATTCTAACGAACAATTTAACCGCGATATATGAATATAATATAGATGAAATAAGACTATTAACATTAATCAAAAGAGCCAGAATATTGAACTTGAACAACACATCGCTCTGAGACTGTTAGTAGTTTTTTTATGTTTTCAAAGTTTCCTGTAAACATTTGTTTGTTGTTTTTATACAATGAACAGTTTATATTATTTACATGCAATAGTCGTGTCTTGTGTACAAACGAGGCTACTGCGTTTCCTTTATTTTGAAAATATTAATAAACGTTTTCAAAACATATATACACACACACATTATTTTAACATTCAGTTGGATTAGTATATAATTTTTAAGGCCTCAAAAAAAGAAAGAAAAAAGGCAACATGTTATCAACCTCCTCCTTTTCTTAGATAAAAATCACCTGTGTTTCTGTTTACAAGAGTACGAGGTTATCACAGACCCCACGGCACTTTGCTATCGCTTCCTTATGAAGGAGCGTTGACCGATTGGTCCTGTGCTCTCATAAGTATTCGAGGAAGAAGGTGATCCTTCAAGGTTGACTGAGGCCACTATAAAAAGTACGAACCCACATAACTTCCGGATTGTAGTTGAGCTAGTTGTTCTCTTGGGACTAGCACAAGTGCAGCGAAACAAGAAACTTGGTTAGCATAAACTCAGTTGTCGTTAAGACGCAAAGAAGACTATCTATCTGTCTTTGGTGTGGTTCAGGAAGGTGAGGCTTTTCGAATATAGGATATTAGTATTCTTTGTTCATTTACCACTCTTTGTTAATCCCGTTAAGTTTTAGAATCCTACTTAGAATCTTAAGCAAACAAAACACGCAGCATGGATGTGTTACATTTCACATTAATTGTTTGATTTAAATACTTAGTTTCAGTTCAATTGACAGCTTTTAAAGTCTTGGTTTTGAAAATTAATTATTTTTTCATGATTATTGTGATCTAATTTTAACATTACAATTCCAATCCTACGAAAAACTATGACTGCATTAAAATGGTGGGAACAGTGCATAAAGATGCTTGTTATACAGATTTTATTTACGAAGGAATGCAAACGAGAGTTTAATATTTAAACTTACTAGACAATTAAAATTAAAATCCTGGGTGCTTGGATTCCTAAATGCAACATTAATTAGGGTTCCATAAATATGATAACGTTGTGACTGTGGTATTTTCCATGTGGAATTAACATTTGTAATATAAGTGCTTCTTTTATGAGAAAAAGTAGAAAAATATGATTTTAGATAGCATTGCTACCTGTCAAAGCGGGCATTTTGTTTAATGACTACCTGTTTATATCGAGCATTTCTAACAAAACTAGTTTTGAACACTTCATTTTTTTTTGGGGGGGGGATCTCTGAGGTTCTACCAATCTTATTGCAGCAAGCGGTGTTTATCAGTCTTCATAGATAATACATACGTAAAGTTCTTTAAAATATCGGGACTTAATGACATTTGTTTTGGCTTTTGAATTACATTTAATTGAGAAAAACCCGTTTTTTTAAAGTACTATTGCAAAAGCTAGATGGGTAATATTCAAAAACCAAACATTTATTTTAGAAATATAATATATATATATATATACACATTGTAAGACATTAATTATGGATCACACAATTCACACGATTAAGACTTAGTAAAACTGTTTGCTGCTAAGCTCAAAAATTGGCTATCTGTGCTATGCCTAACGTAGTATCGAAACCAGATTTTCATCGTTATAAGCCCTCAGCTTTATCGCTAAGCCAACGCGGGCGTTTAGTAAAAGGTTTGCTTGTTTGTTTGTAGTTAAGCACAAAGCTACACGAAGGGCTATCTGTGCTCTGCCCACCACGGATATCGAAACCCGGTTCCTAGCGTTGTAAGTCCGCAGACATACCGCTGTGCCACTGGGGGGCTAGTAAAAGGTATATAAAGTGTAAGAACTAAAAATTTTGAAACATCTTGGCATATACATCATATATATATAATTTATTATTATTATGGGGAATACTATTAAATATAATAACCATCTAAGCTTATAGGTGGTACATAATCGAATAGTAGATGAACTAAGTAGTATATTTGAACGATATTCGATCATTGCAGTCTCTAAAGATGTATTTGTGTGTGTGTTGTTTAAAGTAACAAACATACCCCAAAGCAAATTCATTTGCTGGCTTTAAAGAAGGTTAGATCGTGAATTATTTTGAATCCGAAGCATGATCAAAATCACTTTAAATTTAGGGAATTACTTAGTATGATAATTAGATTTAATAAAATGAGGTGTGTGTGTGTGTATCTTGCGTTAGGCTTGAGTCCCTTAGATGGGACAGCTTACGGAATAACAACTCTAAAATCGGGGGTTAGTTTCCCCGCGGTGGACACAGCAGATAGCACAACGTCGCGTTGCCCTGGAGCAAACCAACAAGTTACACTTGATACGAGTCTCATCGTTATATTTTGTAGTTTGCAGAAGCAAAATTGCTAACTTACAACATGGAAACATTCTTGCAGATAGAATTCCAAGGAACGAAATTAACGACGAGTCTGTTGATTTCGAAATCTCCATGGAAGTCTGCGTTTCAGAGAGTTTGTTTCACCACTTCTTAAAACATGTTTAAAATGCTTCATGAGTGTGCAAGCTCTTCTTCAAACACAAATATTATGCACTTGTTTACTTTGTCTGATATTACATGATATCAGTTTCCGAAAATATAGTCTTGTGTAATTCATTGTGACCATTAATAAAATATCCTCCTGGCGATCAAAAATGTCAATAGCGAACATAACCAACAACGCCAAAGACAACACAGAAGCATCAGTAAGTGAAATCGTCCAGTTTTGTATTTGTATCCGTAATTTCAGTTACTGGTAACGTTATGAGTTAAGTATGCGAATCGAAAACCTAATCTCTGAATTAGCTATAAAGACAACCTTCGTTTAATAATTGGATTATTTTTGATTAAACTGTTCTTCCTACTCGGAGTTATTCAGTTAATGATCTATCAATCGTGGATAAAACTATGCAACTTTTTCATGAAGTTAATTTTTTTCAGTTAGTTTTCGTCTAGTGTATTCTTGAAAGCAGATTGATTTCAGTAGGACAGACTGAGTAAATCTATTATTAAACGGTTTGTATAAGTTCAACAGTAGCAAAAGTTATGAATGGTTAGTTTGGAAGCAACGAAATAAAAGTATTGTATACAGCGACACATTATTAATCAGCGTTAAATGGTTTTATTTAATATCAATAATCTGCTTCTTATATTTGTTTAGATTTTTGTTTCAATGATAAAGGCATTTGTTAATAATTTATTTCAGGATTTACCATGAAGATCCCACTAATAATTGCTGGGTATTTTATGGCACTGATTATATCAGCGGAAAGTCAGAACGAACCAACAAGTTTAGGTAGGTAGTACGGAAGAAAACCTCTAATAAAAAACAAAAAGACAAAACATGGAAAAAAACATTATCTCTGCAGGTTGTGGCCCATTGAATAGAAAACTGGTTGGATAGAAGACTGTTGGTTGTGGAGGAATAGGTTGGCTCATTGAATAAAAAACTGGTTGGATGGAAGACTGTAGGTTGTGGGGGAATAGGTTGGCTCATCGAATAGAAAGCTGGTTGGATAAAAGACTGTAGGTTGTGGGGAATAGGTTGGCTCATTAAATAGAAAACTGGTTGGATAGAAGAATGTTTGTTGTGGGGGAATAGGTTGGCTCATTAAATAGAAAACTGGTTGGATGGAAGACTGTAGGTTGTGAGGGAATAGGTTGGCTCATTGAATATAAAACTGGTTCGATGGAAGAAGACAGAGTATTTTTATAAATGAAGTTCGGTCAAACTGGATTAATGTCACATATTTATTGGACAGCACACATAAAATTAATCCAAAAAGCAAGTGTTAATTGTGTAACGTGCAATAAAGAAAACACTATGACAACTTCGGAGATGCATATTTGTTCCTTTAAGAAAAATATCTTTGTATCTAAAGTATGATTCTTACTTAACTAAGAGTAAAGCATAAACAATATTAAGAATGAATTCTCTAACTTTAAGATAGAACTGGTTTGGCGTGAACATGTGTTCAATATTCTATATATTATTATTTTTGTTGCCATGAGCGATGTTGTTCATTTTAACGTCTTGCAGAAAATTAAATATATAATTTTGGTACCCTTTACTTAGTTGTACTTTAATCTCGTGGTTACCAGCACTTAAAACTTCAATCCAGTAGGTATCTTGTGATTCTGTTTTGACAAATGAAATAATTCACAAATATTTGCTCTTTTGTTATTTTACAACGCCAATTTTTCTCACTATTTAGAAGAAAAGTTCAAATGAAACCAAATTGTTGGTACTCTATGCTCATGTACTGAAAAAACAAAAATAAAACACAAACAAATATATATACACATATCTATTCGAATTATCAGTGTAAGTTTGATTGAAATTGTTTATATTTGCTTTTCTATAACACGACAATTTATATTTTCTTAGTTAGCATCTTGAACATAGCCCGTTATCAAAATACCGAGTGTCTTGCAGAAAATGGCTTAACAGGTATTTGTCTAACTGATGGTGATTGCTCAAGAAGAAACGGAGCCAAAATTGGTAACTGTGCCAATGGATATGCCGTCTGTTGTCTTGGTAAGAAAATCTTAACCACTGAGTTTTAATAGTTTGTTATCATAATATGATTATCAGCTATTCCTTTTAGTTTTGTTGTCTTGGTAGGACAATCTTAACCACTTAGTTTTGAAAGTTTGTTGTCATAATATGATTAACAGCTATTCCTTTTACTTATATTGTCTTGGTAATGTAATCTTAACCACAGAGTTTTAATAGTTTGTTATCATAATATGATTATCAGCTATTCCTTTTAGTTTTGTTGTCTTGGTAGGACAATCTTAACCACTTAGTTTTGAAAGTTTGTTGTCATAATATGATTAACAGCTATTCCTTTTACTTTAATTGTCTTGGTAATGTAATCTTAACCACAGAGTTTTAATAGTTTGTTATCATAATATGATTATCAGCTATTCCTTTTACTTTTGTTTTCTTGGTAGGACAATCTTAACCACTTAGTTTTGATAGTTTTTGTCATAATATGATTAACAGCTATTCCTTTTACTTTTATTGTCTTGGTAAGATAATCTTAACCACAGAATTTGATAGTTTGTTATTATAATATGATTATCAGCTATTCCTTTTACTTCTTTTGTGTTGTTAAAACAATCCTAACAACAGTATTTTGATAGTTTGTTATCACAATATGATTATCAGTTATTTTTTACTTAAATAAATTGTGATCTTACTATCAGTTCATGATAAAGATATTAATAAGGTTTTTAGTGTTTTATGCTGTTTGCATAAAATATTCACTTACAGTTTTACATTTCAGCCTTTTTTCGTTCTATTTGACAAATTATCAGTAATTGCAAGATTTTGGTGTGTGTGTGTGTGTGTGTGTGTGTTTCCTGTTAAAATAAGAATTGATAGATATTATGATGAAGAATACACTCATTAATCTTTATGACGTGCAGAAATGTAGAGAAAACTCTGGAAAATATAACTATCACGCATGACAGTTTATATATATTATCAGTTGAATTACTGATTACGACAATTTGTTTTACCATGGTCTTTTACAGAGAGATTCACATGTGGAAACGTTACGTCGAAGAATGAAACCGTGTTTGTAAATCCTAGTTATCCTTTTAATAGTGAAAACGGAACAGACACATGCCAAGTAACTGTGGGGAATCCAACTGATGTGTGTCAGTTACGACTGGACTTCTTGGAGTTTAGTCTGGGTCAGCCCGATGACGATGGTCATTGTACCACTGACTCATTTATGGTGAGGTCAATGGTGGGTGAAACGCTTCCCATTCTCTGTGGAGAAAACAGCGGTCAACACAGTAAGCAGTTTCTTGTGTATGATGACGAGTGTTTAGAATAATGTTATTACTAATCTACACGACATTCGATTTAGTTATTAATTAATCGAGAACTTTTAACACACACACACACACACACAAAAAACATATTTTTAGTAGTTGTATATTATAGGGTTAAAAAAAAGGAAAGCGTGAATCTTTTCTACGAAACTAAAAGACAATGATCACATGGGAGAGAAGACTGAGAAAGAAGGAAAGAAACTTGGTTCAGGATTTCGTTCCTTCTTAGCAGTCAATCTACAGTTTAAACATTATTTTCGATAATTTGAATAAGATTTACAACCCGTGGTCCCCTGGTGTGTCAGCGGTAAGTTTATAGACTTAAACGCTAAATCCCAGGGTTCGATTCATTATGGTGGATAGAGTGATGATAACCCAATCTCTGGTCAATAAGCATAGCTCATATAAAATTGTTTCAAGTTAAAAGTTCCCATTTTCATGTCTACAGAATAATAATTACTATTAATATCTGATCAGAGCAAGCTATCTATTTAAGTAAAAATAAAAATAATGATAAACTCAGTATAGCTTTTTAAATGTACCCTTCTTGTAAATATCATATGTATCGCTTCATCAGTAGGGTACCCTCGTTTTTAATTGTATTTTCAGCGTACACCTGACCTAATAACAGCTCACGACGTTCGGCCAGCTTAGGAAATTTGGGTTAATCCTAAATCCATATAATCGGCTAAGTGCAAAGTAATTTCTTTAAAAAAAATATGATAATAAAAACTAGATACATATTAAATATTCTAACCTATAATGTTAAATAAAGTAACATTAAAGAAATAATAGTGTATACCTCACTTACGGAATACACAGATATTAGCTCCTAGCTTCAATTAATGTCGTACATTTGCTATTCCATGAACGACGTAGCATCATTATAGCCGTGTATAAGTAAAATGTTCTAAAATGTGTAGTGACCAATAAAAACACATTAAAAGGCTCCTACAGTGTAGCTTTACAGGAGCCTGACATCTGAGATAAATTGCTAGGATACGTACTACTGTTTTGGTGTACAGTCAAGTAGCAAGACAACAACAATCGTACAGCTGAAAACTAATATTTTGTCCACCGGTGGGACAGCGGTAAATCTTAGGATTTACAACGCAAAAATCGGTGGACACAGTAGATATCCCGATGTGGCTTTGCTATCAGAAAACACGCAAACTAATATTTATTAAAATGCAAAATAATAAATTATATTAATACTTGAATAGTAGAATACATGTCTAGAATATTGACACTGTAGTTAAAATGTTCATGTTAGTCATGTTAAGTATAACAAAAAGAAAAACAATATATCAAACATACTATGAGGTGCGTCGAACACAACTATTTTGAGTTTAACTATTATCTATCACTTAACAAAACACATAGAGCTAGTAACAGGAAGTAATAAAAATGTTAAATCTTCTGTAACAGATGAAAATAAACGTTCAATAATCATAAAAATTAGGCTTAGAAACGGAAGTTATAACAGCTGGCAAAAACCAATGACGTAATATTATACCATATATATATATATATATAACTGTTACAGGATTGAATTTATCCACACACGCCCCTACTGCACTCATTCTGAATCACTTTTAAAGTTTATAAATTTAAAAGATATACTCGCAAGTAAATCTCAATAGGAAAATACTATTCCAGTAAGTCAAATAAGTAATAAATTATGCAGTGTGGGGGAGCGAGGACATTTGCCCCCGGGCGTCGGGTTCGGGGGGCACCAAATCAACAAACAAGTTACCCAGAATTTAGCTGTTCCCATAAGACAAAGGTTCATTAAAATGCTTTTGTTATGCTTGATATATAATATTAGTATATCATCAGAAATATCCTGCCTAGAGAAATCCCTTGGTTTTCAGTATTAGACTGATTAAAATACACTGACATCTCATAGTTGATAGGAAATAAACTATATAAAGTCACACTAAAAATACTCCTATTCCCCTCAAAATCCCTTTCCATGGGATTAAGTGCTTTTCTGCACTCTGTGCCACTATTACTTACTCGACTAGCAATTGTCTTTCAAAGACCAGATAATTATGACAATATGGTGAAATACAGCACCATGGTAGGTAGAATTGCCATGTAAGGTTAGAAGTTATAAAGTAAGAGTGTAAATGACGGGTAGGATTAGGATTTGGGGGGATATGTTGTTGCCCCCGGGCGTCTGACACCCTGACTACGCCACTGAAATTATGGCTATTAAACGTTTCCATCATCCGGCCCTCACAAATGAAAGGATAGACCACTTCGATTGTTATATATATATAAACGACATAAATAGCCAAATCTTTCCAACAATAACTTTTATCTACAACTAAATGTTGAATTGTAGTCAGTTCCATGAAGTCAGGTTTCATAAGTTTCTAAGATTGACTCAGCACTTATGTGGGGATTTTTGTATGGTTTTGTGTATTCATCTCTACCTTGTTTCTGTACTTTTTGGCATTGCCATCCCTACATCATACTTAATTTTTGCAAATGTTTTTATTACTTCTTTCCCCTCTTCTTTTTTTAACAATTTTATTGAAGTAGGTTGATAAGTGAACATTTGTTTTATTTTTATAATTCAATGGTACCATACATTGCTAATATCATAACAGTTTCTCTAATTCTGGATTAAATTGGGGGCCAGTGATGCTGGAATTGTTCCTCCAGGACGGTAAAAGTACCCCAGAGTGCTGGACCAACGTTAAGGAGATATTTGCAGAACCCATGCTTTCAACTTCATCCCGACCCACTGCATGTGTGTATATAACTGACTCCATCATATGCTAGGGTAATGTCAATTAATGGGGAGGACATCATACAGATCCTAGATTTGCGGTATGATACCACATATATATATATATACACACAGCTACCAGATTCGCCCCCACTGAAAATTTGAAGAACAATAGACCACTATATAATGTATTGTTTTGATAATTAAGAAACTGGTGTTTATAAACTGAAGCATCAATAACATGTACACAGATCTGTCAGTTACATAAATACATGATATCCTTGATACCTTGAATGTCAGTTTAGATTATCCTTTTTTCTTTATTTATTTTTAATGAAATTATTTTGCTGCCATCTAGCGACCAGAAATATAACTTATTTATGAAACATGGAAATAATATATGCTTATAAACTGAAATCACTGTTAAGCAGTAGCTTTCCTTTTTATTGTTACCCCACAAAAGAAGGTGTGATAGAAGTACAGAAGAAATACTACTGTTATACAAGCCGTGAAACACTCGATAATTGTAATAGGTGCTCATATAAGGCTATAATCAACTTTAGCTATTCTTTGTAAGCGCCATAGAGTAATAGGTTTAATGTGCTGGCTAGTTTTTCTCGACCCATCCCTACATACTAAGCACTATCGTGATTAGTAATAGCATTTTCCCAAGTACTCTTAAAATTATTTGCTGTCGTACTAAAGCCATTGCGAAAACTTCACTCATTTTTTGGCCAGCGTGGGAGAAGAAAGATGAACACTTTAGTTCTTTAGCTAGTTTCCAGTTCTCCACTTTAGCAACACTTTTCAATGATATTAGGAATCTCAATAGCTGTGAAACACTCGATAATGGCAATTAGATGCTCAAATAAGGCTAAACTTCAGCTTTAGCAATTATTTGTAAGCATCATAGAGTAACAGGTTGAATAAGGGCAGCCATTTTTTTCTCGGCCCCTTCCTACATACTAAGCACTACGGTGCTTAGAGATAAGTTCTCTTTCTGGTTGACTTTCTTTTATAACATTTATCAGACTGGTCAGTTGTTAAATCAGTGTTATTATTCTACTGACTATTATATTGCTAAATAGGTGACATGTTTTTTCAACTTGCTGTTAGACTCAAAAGTTACACAATGGGCTACCTGCACTGTATCCATCGCAGTAATCGAACCTCTAACTTTAGTGTTATAAGCCATCAAAATTACCGCTTAGCCACGGGTTAGAGGGGAGGCAGTCATATAAATTCATCACTTTCAGTACATAATGTATAATTTTAAAAAGTGATAAGGTAATAACCACTGTTAGAAAACTGATAAGGTAATGACCACTGTTAGAAAAAAGTAATAAGGCAATGACCACTGTTAGAAAAAAGTGATAAGGCAATGACCACTGTTGAAAAAGTGATAAAAGTGTTAGAGAAAGCAATATACTAATGATGCTGTTAGTAAATTTCCAAATTATACTGATGTTTTCTTATTTCCCATCCAGTATATGTCGATTTGGGAAGAAGCTCCACCAACCCTGTGGTGCTTAGTGTGGTTAGTAACAGCCTTAAGACAACTCGTAGATGGCAAATCAAAATCTCCATGATTAAGTGTAATAGTTTAGATATGGGTAAGTTCAGTTTATTTTTAAGTTTATTGTAAAGGATATATTATTTGTATGGTCCTGTGTAATCATACTAAATGTTATATTAATGCAGTGCAATATTTTACTATCAGCAAAAACAAACATTTAAAATTACGACTGTTTGTTTGCAATAACTTGTCACAACAAGTAATAAGATACACGGACCTCAGAACCAACACTGTAGAAAAATACTAATATTGATTGTTTGGTATAATATTCTACATTTTAATACATCAATAATCTCCCCATGTTTCATATGAACTTTATATGATGTGCTATTATTGTAGAGTTCCCAATTTTAACACGAAAAATATAAGAAAGACCCCCTAAAATAAAAATGCAAAATAAAATTTGCCTTACTTCAACATGACCTCACTTGACAAAATATCAGAATAACTGTGCTCCTATAATACTTTGTATCTATTCGGATCTCTCGTTTTCATAAATTTGACCTAACCAATCCCACGCTTTGATGTACATAGACAAACTCGTGTAATTGATTCACTTGTCAACTAAACAAGCAACTATTAGCCAACATTTTATATTTTGTTTGCAAAATAAGAAGCAGGATTTTTAGATTACCAATATTTTCTAATAACAGAAGTATAAAATTAAATTGCATGTATAAAATTAAAAATTTAAATAATATGTTGGGTGTTACATAAAAAACGGCGTGACAGCGCTGTGAACGTTAATAAATATGACGTTCATAGAAACAGAAAACGAAATAGAAGTAAACATGTGTTATAAAGATGACTTTTCAGTTCGAAAATAAAGGATGAGATGTTGGATTGTTAAATATTAGCTTCATCTTCTGCTTACATGTTGATTTGTTGAACGTTAGCTCCCTCTGGCTGTCTACAGTACTACCGGAAGCCTAGTGATTTCGTCCGTAGTTTCAACTGGGGACCAAAGAAAGAGAACCATATCCGTTACCTTAGTAACCTGAGGTACACAGTCTGCACTCGAATGGAGGAAAATTTCTGCTCCATCAAGTGGACAACCGAAACCCCAGATTCTTTCTCCTGGGGCATGCCTGCAAGTCGTGGCAGCCAAGGCAAAGACTGCAACGACGACGACTTCGTTGTGATCTCCCAAGGATCATCTGAAGGATTAGATATTGGAGAAGACAGGTTCTGTGGGTCAAAACTTCTTCATAAAAATGTCATCATATGTGAGTAAAAGTACTAATATGAATATATGCTTATTTCATTGAACATTTTCTATTTCTGACATTTCATTGGCAAGCACAAAAAGCATTTCATTTGATTAATTTCAGTATCACAAAATATTATAAGAAAATCACAATCCAGTACATAACGGAATATAAAAAAGAATACATTAATGGTTTGGATAATATCTAAGTTAATATGTTACAGTACTTTAATATAAGAAGTTTTAAATGTTTCACCAATGCAACCTTCTGGCGTTGGAAACAAATTTTGGAAGTAGGTGTTTCCAACAGTTATGCTCCATTTGTGTCACTAGAATTCCCATTCGGATGTTTTAAAATTCTCTTTTCAAGGGATTGGAGGGGGAGATAATCTTTGTATCACTTACTAGAAAGTGTGCTTTTTTTTTAATAGTGTAAATTTAGAGTAAAACGATAAAGGCTACTTATATCTCCCAAGGGTATAAACTTTAAATACACGTGCAAAACAAAAGCATTAAGAAAGATTATTTGTTGCAAATACCTTGGAATCAACATTGTTGACGATTGAAAATACCATCAAACAAATAAGTGACAAACAACAGATAAAATCTTAAGATCCGAATAAGAAAGAAGTAACAAGTAAACAACTTTACTTAGTTATACACCAGCTTTAGCTATAGTCCTACCTACACTTGAGTTAGCAGTGGTTAGCAACATAAAAGTCAACTAGTCCTACCTACACTTGTGCTAGCAGTGGTTAGCAACATAAAAGTCAGCTAGTCCTAACTACACTTGAGTTAGCAGTGGTTTTGCAACATAAAAGTCAACTAGTCCTACCTACACTTGTTTGAGAAGTGGTTAGCAACATGAAAGTCAACTAGTCCTACCTACACTTGGGTTAGCAGCGGTTAGCAACATAAAAGTCAACTTGTCCTTCCTGCTCATTCTATAATACTATTATTCGAATTATGACGATTTTCTCAATTGTTGGAAACAAACTTTTGACAATGAAAGGAAAGTTAAACTGAATAATTCAGTTACTTCAAAATTTTGTGAAAACGCCTGCTTTTAATCAAGGACTCCATTTTAGTGTTTCGAGACTGAAATACCGCGCGATGTGATCATGATTTTTCAAGAACCATGTTGCCATACACGATACGATAATGATTTATCAAGAAACATGATATTATTACCCATTTTTATCTCCTACAGTTTGATAATAAGAAAATCTTCATTGTTATAGATTTTCAATAAATTTTTATTTTGTTTTTCAGCTCATGTAAAGCCCTTTTTTCTGGGTGTTGTGAGTAATAAAAACGCAACCCTGAATCGAAAACATTCGCAATTTGGATTTTCGTTGCGTTATACTCAACTTCCGTGTATGGTTTAACATAGTAACAGCAACTTCGTGAAACTGTTTGGATCAGGTTAGTTACCTTTCTATTTTTATCTGACTTTCTAAGAGACAACTTGTACAATTTGTTGTATAATATAACAATTTAAAACATAAGTTGTGAATCAACTTGTACAACTTGTTGTATGATATAACAATTTAACACATAAGTTGGTGAATTAACTTGTACAACTTATTGTATGATATAACAATTTAACACATAAGTTGGTGAATCAAGTTGTACAATTTATTATATGATATAACAATTTAACACATAATTTGGCGAATCAACTTGTACAGCTTATTGTATGATATAACAATTTAACACATAATTTGGTGAATCAAGTTGTACAACTTATTGTATGATATAACAATTTAACACATAAGTTGGCGAATCAACCTGTAGAGCTTATTGTATGATATAACAATTTAACACATAATTTGGCGAATCAAGGTCCAATTGACTTTCAATGTATATAGAACTACATGGATTTAGCTATTTATTTATGAAATATAAATTTCAAATTACGGACTTGTTTTCATACCGTTAAAAATTCGCCTATTCCACAATATTGAGTGATTTTATGTTTTTGCTTGTTACAATACTTTTTTAAAAAATGACCAAAAAACATAGATTGAAATAATTCATTCTCTAATTAAAATACAGTAATTAATGGGAGTAACTACAACACTGATGATATTTGTGTTTAGAGGGATTTGTGTATTATGAGGGATCCTGTAAGAAACAAAGTTATCACTCATAAACAATTTGATGCATAAAAATGTCTTAAAAGTCGATGGAGTCGGTAATTCTAGGGTTAAGTAAATTATACGAACTGACTGAAAATGTACTTCAGAAAAGTTGAATGCTTAACGAATCATTTGTGTTACAGATTAATGAATTAGTACCTGCTTACATAAATAACGTCTAATGGAAAGTTTAAAGCTAATGTAGTGTTACCAATATAATTTAGGTTGTAATATTTTAATTTGTAGTTTGTTAATATTTATTTATTTTCTACTCAACACTATTGATGTAAAAAATGATATGAATCCAGAAAAGATTTATATGACAAAAATGAATTATTTATCTTGCGTTTTAAAATGTCTTAATAGGTTGCTTTAACGTTTGTGTTTTAATAAGCCAGTATTAAATTAAAGTTAAATTGCGCAACTGTATAAAATAATTGTGCCATTAATAATAATATATTTCTAATTTTTTGCAGGTTAGTCGAACAGTAAGATCATAGCCTATTTTTTAGTAGAATCTCTGGAAGGTTGACGTCTCAGAAAACAGGATTTCATTGTTGAAGCTACTCATTATTTATTTTTGTAACAATAAGTTATTTATAATTAGGGATGTTTTTGTACTGTGTTGTAAAAATCATTTGTATTTTGCATAATTTCAAAATGAAATAAAGAAAGATACTCATTAACGATTATTGGCAAATTTCATATCGGTTGAATAAGACCTCGAAATAAAATGTTAACAACAATGACCATACATAATAAAATAAGCTGTGGTTGACAATTTATATATATATATATTACGACTTCAGGTTGGAATAACTAATCCACTATATTTATCTAGTCGTTTTCTATACATGTCAGACGATACAAGAAGACAAGATTAAAAACGTGACTTCAAAATTCCTTAACTAAACAATAAAATAAGTTACGTTACCAGAGTCGTATCTTTAAATGTTATCTCTATAATTTTACGCTCAAGGTTGATTTTACAAATATGCTGGTTGAACCAAATGAACTTGAATGTGAATATTGGATATAATAATCCCAGTTGAGCAGTTAATACTGACAAGCTATATGATTTAAATACTGTAATTTCATACATTTCATATAAAGAATTATGTTTTCGCTGTACACATCTATAATTAGTTTTATTTTTTTGTGTTAAATTTGCTTCAACTTTGAAATTTGTATGTGTTAAGTGTTTGTTTACCTCAGGAGCAGCACTCCTGTTTTGTTTAAGGGGTACATTATTTTTACGAGTAGCTCCCAGTGTCTCAGTTGTAAGTCTGAGGGCTTAAAATGCTAAAAACCGGATTTCGATACCCTCAGCGAGCAGAGCACAGATAGCCCATTGTGTAGCTTATATTTTTATCATGATTAGTTACCTGTTTTTGGTTTGATACCTGATGAGTCAAGCTTGCTACTATAGGATAACGTCATCTTCAGTTTAACTAGCACGGTTACGTTCAATACTTAAATTCAACTTCATTTGGATTTCAAGAGTATTCCCGATTTTTTTTCTCGTTTACAGGCTTGTCCAGAAATAAAATCGCAGTCTGTATTCTAACTTGTATCAAACACAGTACTTAAAAGTTCATCTATGAATAAATGTATCAATGAACACATATTTGAACGCCAGAGTGAGCAGAAATTCCGTCCTTTGATCCTTGACCTGTAACGCCAGATTGAGCAGAAGTTCCATCCTTTGATCCCAAACCTGTAACGCCAGATTGAGCAGAAGTTCCGTCCTTTGATTCCAATCCTGTAACGCCAGATTGAGTAGAAATTCCGTCCTTTGATCCTAGACCTGTAACGCTAGATTGAGCAGAAGTTCCATCCTTTGATCCCAAACCTGTAACGCCAGATTGAGCAGAAGTTCCGTTCTTTGATCCCAGACCTGTAACGCCAGATTGAACAGAAGTTCATCCGCTTGTAAACAGCACTAACACGCGCGCTTTAACATAAACTTTGTAAAAGTCCTAAGGGGCCAATTTACAGAGCTAACAAAATTTTAACTACATCATGAGTAGAATATGGGTGACATGTACTGAAAGTAAAGTTCTTCAACAAAATCTTCCTTTTTTATTAAAATGTCCTAAACAACACATAAAATGATTTTTCATTGGCATTCAAATATTGTCACTGACCTAAAAAAAGGAAAACAAAGTCTACAGAAGGTGAAAGAATAAAAGGGAGTGGGTTTTTGAAGCATCTCACTAAATAATATAGTTTATTATCGGAATAAACTGTGTACTTAGAACGAAATAAAAAAATTAACCTGGTCATTAGTATATCCAATTAAATAAACTTTTCTTACGGATCTGCTTATAAAGGTAAGAATGCATTGTTTTGTCAGTTGGGTACCTTCGCTATTAACCATATTTTCGGCCGTAAACCCAATAATATCTCACGAGGTTCAACCAGCTTTTTCTTTTTTTACAACTGAAATCATTTACCGATAAATGCTGTTCTAAAACTCAACTATATCGTAATTTTTTTTAAATACTCGGATTTCATTAGGTTATTGTTAAACACCAAATTATAGAATGGGCTGTCTGTGTTATAATCACTACGGGTATCGAAACCTGATTTTGAGCCTCGAAATCCTGCAGACTTAGTGTTGAGCCACTGGTGGCAAATACTTTGGTTCAAGCTGTCCAGTTTTCTTTTAACTCCGCTTATCCAAGTAGAATTCTTCATTGCAGATTTTCTGGCGTCGAATGCTGAATGCAACAAATCAATAGCTATATTTATTTGTGAATTTTAAATTTGTCAAGATTTTTGTAATTAGGACAACTTGAGTCCTATCTCTTGTCAGTGCCAAAGCTGTACGACATATCACAACTATAATAGTAAATGAGCCAACTGGTGGAAATTTTGCTCTATCCTTAAAGATAGTCTTATTTCGTGTATTTGGGATACTTGTTTTTGCAGTTTTTTAGAATGGCAAGTCAAAACCATTGGAAACTATAAAATATTTCAAAGAATGTAGAGTGGCTGTTTGAGAACTGTGGCTCCCTCTACCTCCTACATACATTCTTGTAAAACCCAAACTTTAAAGAATTTAGACCTGCCGAATAACCTGAAAACTTTTCAGACTCTACAAAGGAACCATATGATTTAGTTGAACTAGAATCAGATTTTCATCTAAATGAATTGGTTACAGTACAGGATACTTAACCATTCCAATCACTAATGCCCCCCATCAGTGGCACAGCGGTATGTCTGCGGACTTACAAAGCTAGAAACCGGGTTTCGAAACCCGTGGTGGGCAGAGCACAGATAGTCCATTGTGTAGCTTTGTGCTTAACTTCAAACTAACAATCAATCACAAATCATAGAATTTTCATCTGTCATTACTTAGAGATAAATTGATTACTGAATTTTTCAAACCTGTATGGAAACATGTCGAAGTTGTTCTTGTTCCAAAACCAAAGAGTCTTCCTAGCCTATTGGCCATAGTCCTATTTAGCTGCTGGCATGTATTAGCAATGCTTTCGAATAATAAAAACTAGACTTTCGTGGTTTCTGCAATAAAATAACCATCTTTTATTCATTCAGTTTGATAACTGTCGTATATGGAGCATTATGGAATGTCTGACCAAGAATTGTCAGTATTGTTTGTGCAGTATTTCAAAACATTGAGACCACTTTTGAAGTTGTCTGGGTTGATGTTTTGCTCCATAAACTACATTCTCTGAGTTAAAAGGGGGTGAGGGAACTATGCTGATTGTATAGTTTTCCAACAAACCACATCTTTTGTGTGAAAATGAATGACACTCATTCTTTCCACCCACTTTCAAACATGCTTAAAGTCCAAAACTTAACCCTATCTTTTTCAATATCATGACACGCAATAATTGTTTTGTACAATAAAGTGCTTCAAATGATGTTTTTGTCAAAAAGGTTTCGGTTTAGCAGCATGGAAGAAATTCAACTTTTGTTTATTTTTCTTTCCAACAAAACATTTTCAATCTGGATGATGTGGAACATGAACAAAGTTTTCTTTTTGCTCCCTCCTAAAACTTAAATGCGTTGTTTTCTTTTCCAATTGCAGAAATGATACAGATAATATCTGCCTGACTCTTCGTCATCTTGAAAGCAAATTGAAAGCATGACTGTTTTCCATTAATTGGATATTACCTTTAATAAGACTGTTAAATATACATTCTCTCTCCTTGGATTTTTGTTACTATTTACCACTAATGGCTAAATATTTTGACGTGCATATTCTGGTTCTTTGTTGG